GTTTGGAGATAAGGGGATCATAGAAGATGACCCAAGTGATTGGAAAAATAGTTTCTCCTTGTTCTACGCCATTGTTAACCATGAAGGGATTGGTAGGACTAAAAGATAAGTTAATGAACACTTCTCTATTTGTAAGCAAATTGGTGAAGAGACTTATCAGTTAAGGGGGACACTTGATTTTTTCCAGTGATTTCTTGATAGCTGATATAGGAACGGAGTCAAATACCTTGGTGATATCAAGTGAAATGAATCAAAACTCTTTGTTGCCAACGTTTGCAGCTTGGATCGCCGAATTGACAATGGTTAGGGGTTCAAGGGTGCTTTGTCCTAGGAGTCCTGCAAAGTTAAACTCTAATAGAACTGAGTTAGTTTTCAGGATGTTGGAAAGTCTTTTGTTGATTATTCCTGTGAAGATTTTTCTTGTGGAATCTACTAGCAATATTGGTCTGGTATCGTTAAGCTTATGGCTCCAAATGAGTTTTTTAGGAATCAGGATGATAGATGTTTGTTTCCAGAGACTTGGAATTGATGAAAAGATTAGAATTTGATTGAAAATTGTAGTGAGGTGGGTTGTGATTTTTCCTTTTAACAGCTTAATTATATCATAGCTGATTTCAGACTTTCCAGGAGATTTTTTTGGGGGGAGAGTATGAATGACTTCATCAATAATATCATTATTAAACGGAGAGAGTACATGATTGTAAATGGTTTGATTAATTGGCTTGAGAGAATATTCATCTTGCCAGTTTGGAAAGTTTTCAAGATTAAAGTTTCTTTCGCGTAAGATATTTTTGAAATATTGTTAATTATCTCTTGTATTGCATTAGAGTCTTCTTCCACTTGATTGTTTTCGTCAAGAACTTTGGATAGGTTGATTCTTGGTTTCAAGGAGCCTAAAGCTTTCTTAATATAGCTTTTGGGTTTGTTAACAAAGTTTTTTATATTATAAATTTAATATTTTATATAAAATTTTAAGTTACAATTTTAAAAATTTTAATTTTATAAAAAAAATATTAATCTATTTTATAATATTTATTTAATTTAAAATTCTATATTAATATTAATATATATTTTTTTTAAAAAAATTATTATTATTTTATTATTTTATTATTTTATTAATTACTATAAGTTTTACTTTATTTATTTGTTTTTTTATAATATATACCTATTGAAAAAAAAAAAAGAATTTAATAAGTTTTAATTATTATTAACAATTTAATATTTTTATTTATTTTTTAAATATTTTTTTGAAATAAAGTTTATAAAAATATTAATATAATTAGTATTATTTGATTTTATTTTTAAATTATTATTATTAAAATTTTTATAAAAATTTGTTATTAGTTTAACTTTTGTAAATAAAAAATCAATTGTTGACTTATTTATATATAATTAATTAAGAAATAAAATTTTAAACAATATTTTTATTAAATATAGGCTAAATAATAACTATATTTACTTATTTAAAAAAAAGATTTTTATATTTAAGAAAAATAAAAATAAAAATAATTAAAACTAAAACTAAATTGAATAAATTATAAAATCTATAAAAATAAAAATTATATTCTTAAGAGAATTCTTATATAACTCAATATTATATTTCTCTGATTTTTTAAGACTTGTTGATATGGCTTTTATTATTATGGATAATAGAATATACTTGAAATTATTTATTATTATAATTATAATTATTATAATTATTATTGTATTGATAAATTAGTTTAAATTGATTTTGTTGATTTATTAAAATAATATAATAGATTTTTATTGGATGGTTGCCAAGTATTAATTAATTAAAAGAATAAATTGATTTTGATTTTTAAAATTGAAAAAAATTATAAATTTTTTTAAATAATGTAATAAGTGATATTAAAATAGAAAAGTATATAAAGATTATATTGAAACAAATATTAAATTCAATAATTTTGTTTAAGTATATTTTTTAAAAAGTGTTTATAAATTAACAAATATAATAATATTAATAAAAATAGTTTTTATAATAATAAAAAGTTTGAATTACAAAAAAATCAAAGAATAAAAATGTACTATTATGATCTTTTTTTATATAACTAAAGAATAAATAAAACTTTCAAACTTGATTAAATTTTAATTAGATATTCTATTTTTATTATATTAGTTGTCTTTGGTATTTTTAAATTTCTAAGTTAAGGTTTACTTATGATAAAAAATATAAAACATTTTTTTTTTAATCAAAATTACTATAAATAAAAATTTTAAGAAAAATAGATACAATTAAGAAAAGTTTTTTTAATTATAATTATTATTCTATAAATAACAAAAGCAATTATATATATAATAATCAATATATTTTTAATTATTTTAAATTTCAAAAAATATATTAAACTTAATTATTAAAAAATTTTTTTATTAAAATTCAATAAATAAACTTATATCAATATTTAATAACATACAGTATTTAAAAAATCAAAATTAATAAAAAAGTTATTTTAATTAATAAATAATTATATTGTATATCAAAATTTTCAAAAAAAACAATTAATAATTAATTTATCTATTTAATTTTAAAATTAAAATTATAAGAAATCTCAATATGAAAATTTGTAAAATAATAAATCTTATATAATATATACAAAAAAATTTTTATTATATTTTTATTTAGAACTTAATAAAAAATTATTAAAACCAAATAAAAAATTTAAAATGTAATTGAATTAATATTTATAAAATAAATTTACTTAAAATTATTTTATTAATTATCTTATTATTTAATTTAATATTAAAGAAAGTAATATTAAAGAAAGTAATATTTATATATGTTATAAAATATTTTGCCTTTCAAATAAAAGATTTTAAAAAAAAGTAAAATAAAAAGAATTAAATAATTTTTTATTTATTTAATAATTATAAAATTTTTAATTATGAAAAAATTTGTCATTTTTTTTTGCATCACTGTATATACAGTATAGCAAGTTAGAAATATTTGTGCTCTCCTCGAAAAGTTTCTCTTTGTTGTGTCCGCCCGACTTGCAAATCAGGTACACATCACCGATATCGTTACCGGATATCATGTGGAGGATGCCATGCTTGTGAATTGTTCCTAATCCTTTACTAGCCCTTGACTTTGCCGTTTCCTTATTTTATGCTCGCTCAACATAGTACCGACAATGGTCATGCCAATAACAAAACTCATGACTCTTCATAATATCATAACAGACCAACTTTGAGATGCCTGCTTTGAATATCAGCGAAATCTTTATAAAATTCGATTTCTACTTGCACTTCTTTCAGGATTAACGGAGTTTCAACAAGTCTGCACTCTTCAAAGCAATCATATCGCCACGAAATTACATAGGAGCATTTTACCGTTTCGTCCTTCACCTAGTATGCTCTTAAAGTCCACAAAGCTAAAATTTATTGATCTACAGAGGTGTTGGAAGATGATTTTAAGTGTGATCTAAGAATACGTGCTGACGCCTGAAGTGGGTGAAGGGATTCAGGATTCTCTTTTGTTTTTCGAGCTACATAAGCATATGCCGGTGGAGATTTTGATTGTAACAGAGTTTTCGAAATCCAGAGCTCCGTATGTTCTCGGCGTAGAACCAGTGATTATCGTAAGTGGACAGAATACCATATCTAAGTTCATTTACTCTCATATAATTGTAAATTTGTTGGATCGCCATTTTTACCTTTTCATTTGACCGGTAAGACTCAGATTATTTCTGTCCATCGATATATTCTAAACCATGCTTTATTTTTGCCTCAATCACCAAGATCAACGATTCCGCAGGATGGAAATTGAATCCGGAATGCCTGATGTATAAGTAGATAACCTCGAATACATATAATCTGATCCAGTAAACTTTTCTAATACCATACAAATATTAATGGTAATAGCAAGATTAACATTTGACTCATTAAACACGGTTATATCTTCGAAAAACTGTGGTTTGTTGACCTTGGTTTTTGGTCGAAGCAGAATCATACACTTTATCGAAAAAGTCATCCCAAAGCATTACTCTTGTCGGTGGTCACCATTGACCTTTATGGTGTTTTTTGATGTATTACATTGAGGGTGATATGTTACAAGTGATGGAATACACGACAGTACTTCTTCATAGCTGAGAACTGGAAGCGAATAAGTGTTAATATCACGAAGAAAATGACGAAAATTTACATACTATACCAGATAGACACTTACGTGGCAACTTTGCAATAACATGGATATGGCTTTTATGTGGTTTCTCGGTCCAGTAGTCTCTCATGTCATACATTGCATGGAGTTCTTGGAGTTCGCGATTTCTTCACCTTAACAGTTTTGAGGAGGTAAACCAAATCATCACTATCAATATCAGCAGCGATCGTTTCTCCATTGACGAGACAGATAGACATCACAGCTTATATAGTATTTTTTGCGAAACGTTATACAAGCGTGATAAAAAATGCCGTGTTTGATCGATTTATTTTGTAGCACGAACTGTAAGTCGCGGTAAAGTACCCTAGGTATAGTAAAAATACGATATCATTAAATACTAAATATACAAGAACACAAGATTCTCTTTCATATTGTATGATTGCGTCACGGGTACTATAAACCGCGGCTTACGCAATCAAGATCACCGCTTAGTTGCCGCTAAACCAGAGGTTTGTTCGCGACTAATCCAAAGCAGTATTCTCAACTGCAGTGTCACCACAGTCCCAATCCTTCCATTGTAAATAATCCAATCCTCATAGTCAGTCTACGATAAATTTATTGTACCCTCTTTCTCGGCGTCCATCTCCTCGTCAAACATTTTGTTAATAGGTTGATTCTACTTTTAATAAATAAATTTGCGCAACATACATCAGAGCTGATTATCTTTTCTTAGCACACTGATTTCTCCGGAAAGTACCAAATACTATACCATTGTCTAGTCCGAATATTATATACTGTATATCATGTTTTTCCCGCTCACTAGATGAATGACTGACATTTTTAAGCTGAGTAATATAGTCAAAAAAAATTCTAAGGATTATAATTGCTATTCTAGTCTGGAATAATTCTGCAGTTTAGGACATTGGGCTCGACTCCAATCTTTTATATCAGTATCGCCCATAGCATGATTCCTTCCCGCATCAAATAATCTATTTATATACCTCAGCGTGATTCTTGCGAGAAGGTCAAGACGTTGAGGAGTTGAATTAGGGCCACCGTGCATCCTAGAAGTGTGCTTATCTCACTTTTTACTTTACGCTTTCTGGGAAAGCAATTCCCATACACGCAGAGTTCAAAGTTTTCTTTGTTTCTCTCTTTTGCCTTCGATATCCAATCTGGAAGGTTTGGATGGTCGGGTTCCGTAATGAATAATCAGAAGAGTACCAATTTTATCTGGTCTCATACTTAGCATCATGATCACATTTGCAAGATCATGTTTATTAGAAACTTGATTAAGTTCAGGATCTTTGACATAAGTTAAATACATGGTTCAGTCAACCGGAATTGTGATTGGCGAGAAGCTCCAGCTACAATTTCTCTTTCATCATTATTTTTTGGACTTAATACAATGCTATGAAGGAAAATGTCTCACTTATCACCATTTTTGGCATGATATTGAGTTCTTTTCTCAAAGGTATGCTTTTCCTTTCTTTTATTTGGTACGAGAGTCTCTACTAATGAGCGCCTGGCAAGGACACATTTGACGCATTTCTACGGACCTTCCAATCCGGAAGGAAGCACCAAACTCGCTAGCATGCTCGCTCACGAGTCCTTCGAGCAGTTACTTTAGTATTCACGTGAAAAATCTTGAGGAAAGTTTTCGATATGTGTATGCTAGGAAAAGATCACGCTACCGATAATCTTGTCGGCACTTAAAATATTTTTTATATTCAATAATTTGACTTGACAATTATGGAATTAAAATATTTAGTTAGTTTAATCACGACATATTATTTCATAGCAAAGATGTATTAGTGTAAATTATAAATAGATTTATAGATTCTGATGCGCATATGTAAAACTCCAAAAAATACGATTGCTAAATTTATTATGCCCCATCGTCGCCCACTGATCACGGTGATTTACACAAGATTTGAATCTTCAAATGTTTGTGAATTGTTTTTTTTTGAAACTTATCATCTTAATACTGTGATACGAAAATGCAATCCCATTCCGGCGTATTTTTTGGTAACGTTTATTTTTGTGTTGATTCAAAATCGAAAAATTCGTTTTAACTATAATTAACCTCTCATATTCTCCCCTTGCGTTTAGCTTTTTCTAAAGTATATCACTCAAGCCATTTTCACTCATCTATGGGCTTTATCTTGGGACCTTTTTGCTATATATGCAGTAGTGGGTCATTTCACGTAAATGAACGGGTGACATTTGGCCGTTACACCGCATATATGGACGTAGGAGAAAAAAAACGTGTTCTGAGACTATGGGAGGTATCACAGATCTTCAATGTGTTCGGTCGGTGTATACTACTAATAAAGAATTTTTGAATGATGATTATTATTATAAATCTGGTGGTGATCACTCATTTGTCGCTATAATTAGGATTTGTTATATTAAGTGGGTAAAGATGCTTTACTTTAATCGGGCGGAATTATTAGTAATGCATGTTTTGATGTGTGTCTGATTGTTTGTATCGAAATAAAAAAATTGCGTAAAGTTAAATTATCTATATTACGTATCCTAATTTAACCATCTGAACTATATTAAGTACCTACGTTAAAAGTTGTGCAGCAGTATATATATACGATAATTAACACTTTACATGTCATTGCGGCGGAAGTTTTTTATAGAACAGAATGTCATAAATTTAGCGCCGCTTTCAAAATACGTATGCAATTATTGAGTAATTCTTGCTCTTTGTTATTGGGCAAAATATGGAATCAATTTTCGGATTGGCAAATGTACATCTCACAATTCATTCATTGTGTAATCATCGAAAAGATAATAAATAGTGTGTCATAGAGGACCGATTCTCTTTTTTTTTTTCAAACACGTAGCCTCTTAGCCTAATAATTTATTGATCTACGTAAAATAATAAAACTGTAAATTTTAATTCTTACCAGCGCTAAAGCACACACGGTTTCCGGTTACGCCAAAATTATAAAAAAAAAAAATTCTGAAACAAAATACCTAATAAAAGTAATATTTTTTAATAATACATGATATAAATAGAAGTCATAGACATCAAAAAAGTAACAATTGATTCCCTTATTTATACACATTCAAAAAAAAAAAAAGGTTTTTTTTTCTTAGCCTTTCTCTTTTTCTGAAATTTCGTGAAAAAACCGTTAGACAAAGATATTTGATACATGTTAGCAATAATTCGTGGTGGTGCGAGATCCTAAATCACCGTCTATCATCATAATTGTTCATCTGCTGCAAGGTATGTATTAGCATAATCCGTTGCGTATGCTGTGTCTTTGTGCCTGTTAAATTTTCTTTATTCTACGATTCGTTCAATTAAATAATTAAATCTTAAATTTGTGTCTATTCTTTGTGAGTGCATTTTTTTTTTCTTCGGATGTGTGTGAAAAGTTTTTTTTTTTTTTCCTTTAATTTCCTTAATGTTATTCCTTTCGAACTGAACATATTGACCCCAAATTCATAACCTTACATCCGGGCGTCAACTCTTAACATTCCTTAACAGTTTTCCTAATATAATCACACACACATCCAAAACCATACATCTGACTCCAAATCTCCTGTGTCAACTGAAAATCCCCTTTCCGTTCTTGTCTTCTCAACTTGGTCATATGCACGCATACACACATAATATTGACCAACATATATATATTTGTATTTGTATGTATTTTTATAGAATTTTTTTTCTACCCCGTTTCTCCTCGTTCGGTCACGTTTCGTTGTATTTCTAAGCTAGAAGGGACAGCATAAAAAGTAGATCACTTGGTTATTCTGAAAAAGCACAGGGTCGATACTTCTTTCTCAAATCTTTTGCCGAGGTTTCCTTTAGTTGAGGACTACTGTATCATCTACGACCTTGACTTTTCTTACAAAGTACCAGGGACTCTTCTAGATTGCTCGCACGGAAGACCATCTCACCAAAACAAAGTCACCCTTAGGCTTCCGACATACAAGCATTTCCAAAAAAAACTTGTTCAGCTGGACTGTTCATAGCTTTTTTTATATATCTGCTGTAAAAGTAATAACTCTCGTTTGCCCTTCCCTCCCTCCTTCATTATCTATCGACTTCCTATCCCTTTTTTTCCCTTCTAAAAAAATTTTTTTCGTTCTCTCCTGGTGAGTCTACTGCACAGAATACGATAGGGTAAAAAAAAAAAAGGAGTCTTCCTTTTTTATTAAGAAAAAAAATCAAAAAAAAAAAAAAAAAAAAATCACCAGGATAACCCTGAACCAAGAGCGATTTCATGACCAGTGCGGTGAAGAGATCATATCCTTTCGGTTCCCGACCAACATCTCTAGTGGACGAAACTCATCAATTCAAGGTTCCGCAGGCCCCGTTGCACAAAAAAATGTCAATGACTCCTACTAGTATTAACTCTCCTGCCGAGACTTCATGGAGAATGAACAAGTCGTCAATGAACGTTCCTGGTAATTCCATCGTTGTTCCCGATAATAAGACGGTGACAACGGTCAACGGCGAAAAAAGTCCCTTGCCAAGTCCGCCCTCAGCTAAAGGGCGCAGGAATATGAAAAATTTACAACTAGTTGTTCCACCGGTCCGTTCATCCATCTCGGCTCCAAGCTCACCACAATTGCCTTCATCACACACCCACAGCAGGCGCCCTTCAACTCCTTTATGTGTTTATCAGAATAAAGGTCAAGATAACTCGAATACTGCTGCCGATCCAATGGAGTTAATGTCAAAAACTGAAAATGCTATCGGCGAGGAGTTACCTTACAAGGACGAGCCAATACTCATTTTACCAAACCTGTATCTTGGTTCGGAGTTGAATGCTGCGAACAGAACAATGCTCAATAGAATCAACATTGAATTTATCTTGAACGTTGCCAAAGAAGTTGAGAATCCTTATCTGGAGGAAATTGTTAACCATGGTACCTCATACAATGATGAATATCAGGACTCTCCGATGTCAGAATCGGTTTGTTCTGATGATAGTTTCAGAACTGCAATACAGTCTCCCATGGGTGCATCCAATAACATCGATTCTCCAATGGTCCCTCCTACCTCGTTTGGTGAATTTTTCACAACTCCCATTAATAAACGTTCTTCTTCTACACCGCGTCCTACTTTCACGTCAGCACAGAATTCAATGCAATCCGGTATTCCTCTTATCGTTCCAGCAACTTCGGACTTTAATTCGTTGAAATATAAGAAGTTCTTTTGGACTCACAACCAAGAAAACCTAAATTCGGATTTTTCATCAGCTTTTGCATTTATCGATGAAGCTCGTTCGGCTGGCAGAAACATCCTTGTACATTGCCAATGTGGTGTGTCCAGGTCTGCCTCTCTCATTATTGGATACGTGATGAAGGCCAATCGTATGACGCTTAATCAAGCTTATGAGTATGTGAAGAACAAGAGCCCTTGCATTAGTCCAAACATGAGTCTTGTATATCAGCTGGTTGATTTTGAGAAGACCCTGAAGTTAGGATCCAACAACGGTACCAATTGTTCATCACCAGGGACTCCCACAAGATGCAGGGCGGAATCCAAAACTCATTCCCGTAGCTCAAGCATAGAAAGCGATCTGCTTTTGAAGACTCATCGACGCAGTACCAGTATCCCGAGGAGCAATCCTGTACTTAGTATTGCTCCTGCGTATGTCGCACCTGAACCCTCGCCCAAAACTCCTCCCGTCGTCACTGAAGGGCTATTAACTACACATTTGCCTCATCAATCTACTGTGAAGGGCGGATCCGGAAGGTTCCACGTTATCACCGCGTCCATATCGCCCACTTCTCCTTCCGCTCCATCTCCTTCATCCCCTGCGTCGTCTGTGTCACCAACGAGTTCGGAATCACCTACAACACCATCAAGTGGATCATCATCTCCGTCAAAAAATTCTTCAAAGTCACTACCTCCATCAAAGAATGGTCATTTAACCGTCTCAAATAGGTCTCGATCGCCACATTCCTCAGATCGTACTCCGCTTACACCAAGAGAAATAATTAATACACCAATGTCCCCAACATTTGCAACTTCGAAATCAATGTCTACTGCCACACTACATAATTCGTCGATTGCACCTATCCCTTTTGATAATCTTTCCTATGCCAGAACATCAAGAATTGTCGGTCGGAATCACAGCATGATTGGTCACGAAGTGTTGAGTGGCTCTGCATCTGGAATTTTTAGCAAATCCACACTGGAAAGTATATTTTCTCCGACAAGAACGTCTCCACCTGTCACTCCAGTCACAATTCCAAACATACACGATATATTTCTTGATGATGAATAAAGACGACCATTCTTTAACAGTAGGAAAACATGCAAGATGAATTCCAATTGTAATTTTTTATATCAAAAAAAAAAAAATATTATTAGGCACTGCAATTGTAATGTGTATATTATTATTTCGATGGGTAATTTGAGATGGGAACGGTAATGAATGCGATATCATGCGCAAAAGTTAACATTGAATTTGACATTCCGTTGATAAATAGCACAGGATTGCTTTTGGCTTTTCATGTACAAAAAATTTATATATGTTTTTTTCCTCCTAGAGTCAAATGTGATTAACGAATAGCTTGGGAAAAAATTTTTTATTTTTCTTCATAATCTTCTTGTAGAATTTTTTACGTATTTTCCTTTCTTCCCTTATTTTTCCACTTGTTAATTGTACAAAGTTTTTCTTTTCATTTCACATTCTCACTTTTTGGCGTGCAACGAGCAATAATTTTTTATAATAATTTCTAGTGTTCCTATACAATTAAAAAAAAATCTATGGTTTTATTTTAAAATCATTTACAAAGAAAAAAAAAAGATTTGTATCTGTCATTCATGTTAATTCTCTTTTATAGAGAACGATCTCTCTCTACCACACTAATTTCACTGTTTCTCGCGAAACGTTAATTCATCAGTTGGATTGATACTTGTGGCAAATATACTGTATATCCATTATAAAAGTGTGTTTGTATATATATATACAGTATATACATTCTTTTGCATCAAATTTCGACATATGGTGACATTCATGCAAGTAAACTGCTTCGACTTCGTGCAATTATAAATTGCACGGAAAAATTTTACTCTGACGAAATTGTGCTTACTCAATATGGTATCAAGCAAATTGGAAATAAACAAACTTTGACTTAATCTTTTTTAACACCAATAAGTTAACACCCATCTATTTTTAGACCTAATCCCACGTCTGATTATCATGTTCAGATTAATTATTACTTCTATTATCATAGGATTTAATTTATCCTGATCTTCGCTTTGCTTTTCTTGAGTTACTTTTTTAGAATAGAGATCCGACAACGATGATAATCATTCTACTGTCTACTTCATATTTGATTAATCTCCCTTATCCTTTATACACTGTATAATAAGCAATCCATGCCTTTTTGTTAATAAACAAATTTAGAATATGGTTTTATTAACGCAACCTTTTTTTTTTTTTTTTTAAGTCTAATTCAAATAAACAATTTGGGGAATGAGTTTTTAAAAATCCAGATTTTCAAACAAATCTGTCATTGTTAATTAATTGTTTTTTTCAAAACTCTCATACACCGCGTATGACACCGAGAATTCGTGATAAACAAAAAGAACCGGTCGTATTTTTTTCTAGAATTGCGCGCCTGAAGAAAATCACCGTAGTATAATGGAATAGTAGATCTTTTTTATTGCATTTTCTTTTTGAGATTGTTGATATGCGCGAATATGTAAATACAAGGTTATGATTTTAAAAATTAAGATTGAATTAATTTTATCTAAATTATATCTAGATACACAGCAACATAATAAATTTTCAATTATTAAAAATCAATGTGATTTAATAAAAGTGATAACATACAGCATACACAAGGTACAAAGAAAAAAAAATTTGCAATTCAATTTTTTAGTTCTGATTTATAATAATTTTTTGGATTTAAATTCAATACAAAATTTGGAAAATAACTTTTTTTTTTTTTAAAATTATAGAAAATAAGTTTACTTATACGTAATTGTTTTTTATTGGTTTGTTAATTGTTCGATATTAAAATAAATATTTGAAATAAAAAAAATATTATTATTATTATTATTATTATTATTATTTTAAAAACTAGCTTAACCTTGCTTAGCAAACTTAATAAAGTCAATATTTACATATATTTGCACACATTTCTGTATATAAACTATGCTATAACATTAATTGATGAGTGTATGCTAAACTATATTGAGGTTTCCTAGATATC